ACTGCGGATGATCCTGCACCGTACAACATTCCGCAAATGCGCAACGAGCTTGCCCAGGCATACCGAAATGAAGAAGTATATTGGTATCTCAAGAGTAGGAGCTCGTGGCTTAGAGAAGGGGATAAAAATACTAAATTCTACCATGCTGTGACAAAACTGCGATACTTTAGAAATAAGATAATGACTCTCACCGATGGGAATGCAAATCTACATATAGGTGATCACGATATTGGAACACACGCAGAACACTATTTTCAGACAATGTATTCTAGTGACAGTAGCAATCGCGGCAACAAAGACATCTTTGAAGGATTCACACCTAAGATCTTCCATGAATGTGTCTTTCACAAGGGATATAACTCAGGTGGAAGTCTATGATGCGATATCTGCCATTGGCTCGGACAAAGCACCAGGACCAGATGGATTAACTGCGCGTTTTTACCAATCTTGTTGGGATATTGTTGGTCCGGATGTTACCAAGGAGGTATTATCTTTCTTTGATAATGCCATTATTAAAGATGAGCTAAATCATACTAATATTTGCTTGATTCCAAAAAAGAAAAACCCTCTCACCTTGGCTGACTATAGACCAATTTCCTTATGTAATGTTCTTTAAAAAATTATTTCCAAGATATTGGTCTCCAGACTCAAGGGGTTTCTAAACACCATTGTTTCTGATGCACAAGCTGCTTTTATCCCTGGACGACTCATATCTGATAATGTCATGGTGGCACAAGAGCTAATGCACTCCTTAAAGAGCCGTAAACGTGTATCACAAACATATATGGCCATTAAAACTGATATGACTAAAGTTTAATTCATAGTAGAATGGGATTTTCTTGAAAATACTTTGGTTGCCTTCGGTTTTAACCAGAAATGGATCACGTGGATAATATCCTCCGTTAGATCTGTGACATTTTCTGTGCTTATTAACGGTACACCTCAAGGACACATTGTCCTGGAACGAGGTTTGCGACAAGGCGATCCCCTCTCGCCATATCTATTTATCCTATGTGCTGATGTCATGAGCCATTTAATTGACAGGCATACTCGTAATGACAGAATAAATGGTATTAAAATTGGAAATTGTGTACCTCGAATCACGCACTTGTTATTCGCTGATGATTTATTATTTTTCTGCGAAGCAAATGCCAAGAACTGTTCAGCTATCAAGGAGATTTTCATAATATGAAGCCTGCTCGGGACAAAAAAAATAAATCATGAAAAATCGATGATCACTTTTGGCTCACGAATTCAGGGCTTTACACAAGAGCGTCTAAAATGTATTTTGGGAATCTCCAATATTGGTGGCGCTAGGAAATATCTTGGTTTACCGGAACAGTTTGGAAGAAAAAAGAAAGAAATGTTCAATAAAATTGTTGCACGTGTCAAAAACCAGACTTCATCATGGAGCTCTAAACTTCTATCACCTGCTGAAAAATTTTTTTTTATTAAAATCAGTGGCAATGTCCATGCCAATCTATTTGATGTCTTGCTTTAAATTCCCTACCCAAGTAATTTCAGAACTTACTCGCATACTCACACAGTTCTGGTGGGGCAAAAATAATCAAACAAAAAGAATTCCCTAGGTAGCCTGAAAACGTCTCTACTACACAAACAATGAAGGTGGCTTAGGTTTCAAAGATTTAGGAAAATTCAATGATGCATTATTAGCTAAATAAGCTTGGCGAATAATACAACACCCTACCTGTCTTTTCTCCTGCTTGTTTAAAGCTTGTTATTTTCTTGATGATTATATCTTTGATGCCAAAAAAAAAATTGTCAATCATATGTGGCCGTCAATTTTACATGGAATTGAGGTAATAAAAAAAAGGCTCACGTACTATTATTGGTGATGGCCATCAAACGAAAATATTCCAACATAATTGGCTGCCCTCTTCACCTCCCAAACCCGCAGAGGGAGCCGATCAGACCTCCACCCTACTAGTAAAAGACTTACTTACCACCCACGATAATATAAAATGCTGGAATGAAGCTGCACTCACCGCAAACCTCTCTGTTCATGATGTTGTGCTCGCAAAACAAGTATATTTAAAACAAGGCTATGGTCCGGATCATATAGTCTGGAATTATACAAAAAAAGGCCAGTACACTGTTGAATCTGGATATTGGCTTCTCCAACATCTACCAGCAACCCAACTAACAGCGCCTACCATTCCCTACGGGGATCCTTCACTTAAAGCTAGAATATGGAAACTTCGAATCATGCCAAAACTAAACATCTTATCTAAGTCCATCGGCACAACTACACGATTACAAACACGTAGAATTATGATCCCAACTACGTGTATCCGATGTGGAACTGCGCCAGAGACAATACATCACTTATTTTTTTACTGTCCTACATCCATATCAACATGGCGGCGATCTCAAACTCCTTTTAACTTTCTTACCATCCCTCAGGCGATACGGAAGATATCATAAGGCTCCTTCTTGATGCACAAACAACTGTTGGAATTCCAGAAACAGATAAACTACTTCCATTCTGGCTACTTTGGCGAATATGGAAATCTCGCAATTACTTAATCTTCCAACATAAGCAGATCTTCATTGGAATCAAAAGACTTAATCTCGCAATGACTTAATCTTCCAACATAAGCAGATCTTCAATGAAGATAAACTACTTCCATTCGGCTACCTTGAAGCGGAAGCAAAAGGATTACTCACAGCTATTCAACAATCCTGGAGCATGGGTTTTGACTTCATTAACTTCGAAGGAGACTGTCAGGCCTTGGTTAATTTACTAAAAACTAATGATCAAGACATAAGCATAGCTAATCTACTTGATGATATTAAAACCTGGTTAACCAAGTTCCATTCTTATGACATTTCTCATGTTAACAGAGTTTGTAATAAGGTAGCACATAGTTTAGCGAAGCAAGGTCCCCCAAATGGCCTATTTTATTCAGGAACTACCTATCCACCATGTTGGATAAGAACCTATTTGTATCATGACTATATCAATTCTATATAAATCAAACTTTGCTGTTAAAAAAAAAAATATATATATATATATATAAATATATATATATAAATATATATATATTGATTCGCAGATTTTCTATTAAGTTTTGTAACAAATATTTTAAAATATTATGTTTTCTAATGCAAATGAGATTTTATTTATTTGTAATTAAGAGTTCAATATTTACTTAAGTTTTGTTTGTTTTTGCATCCAAATACTTATTTGGAATGCAAATTCTCAAATATTGTTCTTTTAAAAATATTTATAAATCAGTATATGTATGTTGTATCTAGATACAAAAACTATAATATCTCAAAATTTAGATATTTAAAATGTTAAAAAAAAATAAAGATTGGATGCAGCATTTGAATCCCAAAAATTAAAAGAGTAAAACATCTTTTAATTTTAAACCATAAAATCAAGTTTTTAACCATAAAACCAGAGTTTTTCTTATCAAAATAAAAGGCACATTTTCCCGCATAATACTAAAATCACGTTGTTGTACAAAAACTGAAAATTTCTGTAGAAACTGTAACAAAAAAACATTTTTCATCAAACCGTATTTTTCTGCCAAAACTGTAAACCCACATTTTTTTAACGAAAACAAAAATTATGTTTTCTCCCAACACCATAAAACCATATTCTATGGCCAAAAATTTAAAATTACATGTTTTTATCAAACCTGCAAAATTGCATTTCTCGTCAAACCCGCAAAACTGTATGTTCAATAAAATCCATAAAACCATATTTTTCCATCAACGTGAAAACCCACTAAAAAATCTAAACCTCGTAAAATTCGTAAAATCATATTTGCTGCCAAATCTATAAACTTGTGTTTTTCGTAAAATTGTAAAATCCGTAAAATCGTGTTTTACGACCAAATTTCTAAATTCATGTGTTTATGCCAAACCAGTAAAATCGAGTTTCCAAATCCACAAACCCGCATTCTCTTGTATGACTATGTTTTCCTACTAAAATCTGTTAAACATATAAAATCTGCAAAATTACGTTATTTGCATTCTGCAAACCCGTGTTTTTCCGTAAACCTCGTAATATCTGGAAAATCATAATTTATGACCAAATTTTTAAAATCTTGTGTTTCTACTAAATTTAAAAAAGCACATTTCTTGTCTAACCGACATTTTCTCGTAAAATTATATTTTTCGCTAAAATTTTATAAAACCCGCTAAAACTTGTAAAATCCCTAAAATCTACAAAAATGTGTTTGTCAAATCCACAAATCCATGATTTTCGGCAAAAAAAAAAATTATTAACAAACCAGAACAAAAAATATTTACATAATATTGTTTTCATTGTATATATATATATATATATCTATATATGTACAAAAATAATGATTATATATTCATCATTGACTATAAATTGTCATATTTAGTAAATATCATAGTAACTTTTAGAAATTTTAAAATCGTGATTTTTTAATATTATAGAGAAGAAACTGATTATAATATAGTATATATTTAATTTATAATATAATATAATATAGTATATATCTAATTTATAATATAATATATATTATTATATTAATTATTTATGCCATATATATGTAGTAATTATGTTAAGATATTATGAAATATTTTGAAATAATTTCGAATTAAATTAATTTGAATTTTATTAGTATCAAATATAATTTATTAGTATTATCTATCAATAAACTAATATAATTTAATTTAATTTAGTGTATTTGTTGACAGTTTAATAATAAAACTAAATTATCCTTAATGAATTAATAAAATAGTCTAGCAAATATAATGGCACATTTAATAAATACCATGATAGCTTTTGGATATTGTAAATTAGTGATTTCTTTTTATAGTATAGATAATTTTAATAGTATAGATAAGGAGACTAGTAAACAATAGACTCGTTAAAAATTTTAACTGCCCCTTTAAAAAATGCAAAATACAAATGTATAGAATGACTTTGGACCCCGTCAAACATGACATACGATCTTGTCCTATAAATTTAAGCACTCATGCTTCACAAACAACACACAATCATAAACGACACATATACCAATTCTTGAAAACGCATTAGCAGAACCTTCTGTTTTAAAATGAAGTTTTCTCAGTCTCTCATCGCTATTATCACTTTGGCATTGGTCATTACATTTGGGAATGCTTATGATCCAAGTCCGCTCCAAGACTTCTGTGTAGCCGTAAAGAGCCTCAACAATGGTGGTATAAAAAATATCCATTGCCTTTAATTCTCTACTTACTTTTCTCATTTGTGATGATTAAATCCAATATCGTAATAACTACTTTCAAAACAATATTTCATGTGCAGTTTTCGTGAATGGTAAGTTCTGTAAGGATCCAAAGCAAGCGAAGGCAGACGACTTCTTCTTTTCAGGCCTTAATAAGGCTGGAAACACTAATAATGATGTCAAATCAAATGTGACAACGGTCAATGTCGATCAGATTCCAGGGCTAAACACAATGGGAATATCCTTGGTTCGCATAGACTATGCACCATATGGCCAAAACCCACCTCACACGCACCCTCGTGCCACTGAGATCCTTGTCCTTATCGAGGGAACTTTATATGTCGGTTTTGTCTCATCCAATCAAGACAATAACCGTTTATTCGCCAAAATATTACATCCTGGTGATGTGTTCGTGTTCCCTATAGGAATGATCCATTTTCAAGTTAATATCGGGAAAATTCCTGCGGTGGCCTTTGCAGGACTGAGTAGCCAGAACGCTGGTGTCATCACAATCGCAAACACTGTGTTTGGATCAAAGCCTCCGATTAATCCAGAGATTCTATCTCAGGCGTTCCAGTTAGATGCCAATGTTGTCAAAGACCTTGAGGTCAAGTTTGCTTCCAAGAAATGAGTCTAAGTCTTTAAGAGTGTTTCTGAACATTGTAACAGTCAACTAATAATGTAATAGTAATACTAAGAAAAGCTTACGCTTTGAATAAAATAAAAGATTGTGTTGTTCACCTAATTTGGTATTTTAATACTAATCCATTAATATAATTAGGATACATTTTTCTTATTTTATGCATCATCCATTAATGGATCCTAATAAATATATTTGGAGTTGATAGAAAGCTAAAAGTAGGATAATAATACAAAATCACTACGGCCTTGATCAGTAGTATAGGTGAGATTTTGATTTTCATTTCAAAGAAACTTGTTTATTCTCCGTTCAAAATTAAATTCTAGCTTCTTAGAAACAAAAGACTACCTAACAACAGATGGCATTAAAAAACCAAATAATTAAAACTAAAATCCAAAAACTAAAAACAAAAACCAATAAAAAAAACTACAAAAACATTCAAAGCCGTAAATGACTAAACAACTTCTTCTCAATCTAATTTCTTTTTTTTTTTGGTATTTTTGAAAATTTCCCCAAAATGATGTAATTTGAAAACAAACTCACTTTATAGTCTTTTAGAATATATTTATACAAACAAAAATTATTTAGCTCAATATAAAATTAGCAAAAATATGTAAGCCATCAAATATTTATCTTTTTATCAATTTTCATAATAATATTTTTAATATAAATTAATTATTGAATTTTAAGTTATAAATAAATTTATATTTAATGATATAAAGATAAATACGTTTTTATTTGAAAATTTTTCTCTACTTTTTTATTTTTATTAAAATTTTAATATAAAAAATTAGTTAGAAATTCTGAATACAAATGTTTTAAGGCGTATTTTCAATCTCGCCTGTAAAAACTATTTTATGGAAAATATTTATATATACAAACAGTTTTTGGAATTCCATTTATAAACTAACTCATTTTCAGCAAATGGTACACTTTTTTCATATGAAAAAACATTAGTATCCTTCATTTAAAAAAAAAACAATTCTCGACATAAATTCAAATATGAAAAAACATTAGTATCCTTCATTTAAAAAAAAAACAATTCTCGACATAAATTCAAATCTCTTTATATTATCACCACAAAAATTGATGATTCTATCTCCACTGCAACTTCAGACAAAACACTATTTAACGATTCTTTGATTCTATCCACCGACGGTGTTGTACTACTTTTCTAGTCAGTCGGAACGTCTTCATCCCTAGATTCACGACCATCAACGAACCTTGGTTTCGATCAGAGACTCAGTCTGACGTACATCGATGTAATTTGTTACCAACATTATCTTTATCTTCTTAGTTCTGATATGAAAGGTTCCTCTAAGAATTTTTTCATACTTATTCACCCATGTCAATGAACTGTGTATTTAGGGCTTATGTCCACTAGTACATATTCATGATAGACTGTCCATCGCTGTTGAGTTTACCCATGCATTGTCTTTGTAATCAGTGTTTTTTCCTGTATACTTAGCCATATCCGCATGCTATTTTACTAGAAAATAGAAAACTCATCAACTTGTTAGTGTTTATTACATCTGATCCATGTAAGATTGTTCATTGATTGTCATTGATTTTAATTCTACTTTGATCGCACAGTTTTCTCTATCCACATGTAGGTAACATTTATGTCCACTAGTACTTATCCATGATAGATTGTCGTAGCATACTTACCCATTCTATTGTTTATGTATTTCATTTCACTATAACTTTCTCCACATATTTGAATTGTTTGTGTACATTATGTCATATCCATATTCGATTGCTCATCATTCTTGCACCTATCGGCTATTTCTGATTGTACTCTATTTTATTTGAATATTTTTACCACCAATAGGTATTTAATTATGTGTCCACTAATTTTCATCCATGATAGGTTGTCCATCGACGTGACATATTTATCTATCTATAGTTTTTGTTTTAATTGGATTTAGATTGACAACTTACCAAATAATTTACTTGTCACAATTTAGTTGAAAGATTGTTATTTTTGGCTTTATTATTTTTAGTTTTGGTGGATATCAATTTTGTATGATCTACTATGTTTTCAAACATTATAATTTTTTTGTCTTTATTTTTATATTTTTTACCAACCATTTTTATTAATTTCAAAGAGTGATTACAAAGACATACACAATTACTTGAACATAAATTATTACATACGCATATGTATGTGTAATACATTGAAAAAAACACAGCATAAGGGATTTTAACGATGCTTTCTGAAGAGTAGTCATATTCGCTAACCAATCATAAGATCTGTTATTGTTCAACTTCATATTTGATTTTTCTCTGAGGCGATTTGTATACATCATCTCATGGATGAACTTTTTTTTTGCAAACCGCATTCTGAAACCCGATGTGCCCAAAATGAATTTTGAAAAGTAGACACAATAATACCAAAACTTCTGTACCAAGATCTTTCTCAAATATCATAACTCTATATCAAAGTCATTCGATAAGAAAATGACTTTTTCTCCCCTTTGAATTCAACATGTGAAATTGTTCAGATTAATGACTTTGATTTCCTCTTTCGTTCTATTAATTCCACGTATCTATATATTGAAGGTTCTGAAATGTCTTCTACCTCATGATTGTTGCCATAGTGAATGGTTCTAATGCAAACTAAAAATAATAAAATATGATTCCAACGTAAAGAAAGACCATAGTTCACCATGGAACAGCACAATTCATGGAAAGTTATTGGTTATTCTACCCAGGTTCCTAGCCACTAATTAACATTGTAGTTTTTCTAATAAAGAGTGTATGTTTTCTTCTTGTAAAAAAGAGACCCAATAAGATTAGGAAGTCTTTCTGATGCATAAATGCATACCTCTGATCATAAACTTAGTGGTGCTTCTTCAACCCCGGTTATGATGTCATGCAGAAGGCATCAAAAATTATCAGTCTTGGATGATGAAAATTGGATAAAATAGATAGGATAATCGAGAAAACTTTGAAAGAGATGATTATCCAAGGCGGTTTAGGAGTTTTGAATTCATTCAAATTGAATGGATTCCACCAACCGCCAGAGATTTTACTTAACGGACTAAAGCCAACAAACATGACACAAAAAAATGGAAAACCATTGTCGAACCTTTGCTTTTGAAGAAAAGAAAAAAGAACCGATAAATGTATAGAATATCATCTTTCGAAATAGGAATAGAAGTCATAAATCTTACTCCAAAAACCAAAAACTAAAATCAAAGAAAGGAAAGAAAGAGTACAATTAATCAATCTAAGATCGTATTTCTAGGTAATCAATCCTAAAATCAGTGTTAAAGCGATATAGATGAAAAGCAAGAAGATTTATCCTAACAATATTGCAATTCTAACAATTCTTTATTAACCTTTGAATAACCCAAAATCTAACTAGCAAATTAATCAGATATGATGAATAGAGAAAACATCTTGAAATAAATAAATTGCATAAAAGATAAATGTAAAGATACAAAGGGGTTCGACATTCCTCTCTAAAGAACATTGTATGGATTTGTCTCCCCAAAAGCTCCTGATCTAATATCTCTCTAAGTTTCAATAGAATGTAAGATCCTCGCCTAAAAATGGCTCTGAAAACCTAAATACAATCTAAAATACAAGTGTAACAAGTTTGCAAATATATGAAAATTTCTGGGTCAAGTTGCAAATCTTCGTAAGTCTTTAAAAACTCGCGAGCAAGTCATAATCACGATCGATATCAATCGAGACCAAGGGGTTGTGTCGGTTGACACCATGCATATGAATCGTCTCTGACTTCATCTTTTCAGAAACATCTCACAACTGTTCCAGAATGCTCTGATATCTCCAAATATGCTCCAAACTTACCTGAACCTATAAAAACTCAAAAAATACCAAAAGACTCTATAAACATGACCTATATCATGCTCAAACTTGGAAAAATATGATATATCAACTCTCCCAGACTTAGCTTTTGTTTGCTCTCAAGCAAGACATAAAACTAAGAACAGAGTCAAGATTTGAAAACAGAAACAATCAGCAAATCTTAGGAATGCCACATTGACAAACACTCTTGAATCCACATACTACATACTACAGATATAAGATTAAATAGTATTTCAGTGTACTTACCACAAGCTTAGCAATCTCCAAAATACGGTTCAATCCCTTCAGAAAAATCCAAAATCTCACATTGTTAACCTTGTTCATTTAACTAGGCGTGAGGTCTCATTGAGAGAGTATAGATCAAAGAACATACAGATTTTTTCCTTCCAAGCTCCTGAACAAAGAAAATCTCGGTACAACTCCCTTATTTCTCTTCTCTTAGTTGATCTCTCTACTTTTTAAGGCTGTCATTTCTTTTTTTTATCGACTGTTCTTTTCTTTTGTAGTCAAAGTACTGTGATACTCACTATTTGTGTTCCTTGTGAGGTGACAGATTCATGAGTACTCATTATTTGTGTTCCTTGTGAGAAGACATGTTCGTGAGAGCAGGCTCACCATCCTAGTCCTTATGGGACTCAGGCTACCGTTCTTAGACTTAGACTCTTTTTTTTAAGGGAAAATCAAAGAAAGACTGCACCTAATTTATCTTGTCACTGCTGAAAGAAGAATCAGGTTCGATGTATACCAAGCCCCAAGATGAGAAGTTAAAGTTCAATAGGGCGAGCTAACAACAGATTTTTCAAACTCTCCAGAAATCTGAACTTTCTCTATTAGACTGATCCACTCAGAGTGTTTTACCTAGTAAAACCTGCAATCAACTGTTATGGTAATAGATTTTCAAGTGTAAATATTTTGTGGTTAGTTCCAAAAAAAACTGATAGTTTCAACTAAGTTTTGACTCAATAAAACAATTTGGACTGACTCTCAAAAACTAACACAATGTTAGCAACTACCTCCCAAGATATAAACAACACTGTCTCCAGTGTTATCAAACCTGAAGTTGTAAAAACAAAAAGTGGAACCAATTGAACAAAAAGAGAGAAGTATTTACCTGTCTTCGTGTCTGGTGTCGATCGACACTTTGTCCGAAAACAGAATTTTGAAGTGTTAAACGTGAATGTTGTTCAACAATGTGTCATCACAGTCATTCCAAAGTTAAACTGTTAGATCACTCATGCACGAATTAGAAGAAACACATAACATAATATCATAAGTTCAAATAGGTTCCAATTAAAATACAAAGCTGACAAAATGACTAAAAAAAAGCAGAAAAAT